ACACCCTACAATAATACAAAGAAAACAGAGAAACCCCCAACAATCATATGATGCTCTTTGAGCAAGCACTTTGGCAACAGTAGGAAGGAAAATCTTTTAACAGGAAGAAACCTCTGACAGAAACAAGCTCGGAGAGGCAGCCACCTGCCACGACTGGTTGGGGTGAAGGGAGAAAGATGAGTCAAAGACACGCTGTGGGAGAGAGCCAGAGATTATTAATAACTAATGATTACATGCAGAGTGGTGTATAAAAAACTTTTTTACAGTTTCTGAAAAAGGTGAATAAAAAAGCCTTCAGCAACCTAGACCTATTGCGAAATAACTAAGGGAGGATTCAGGGTCACCTGATCCAGCCCTTGCTATATATTTTTTTTATCAAAAATGAACGTTTTAAACCTAACGCTAAAAGTAGAATGGATGTCTGTCTCCCAGATCCAAACTGGGAGTTGGTTCCACAGAAGAGGGCCTGAAAGCTTAAGGCTCTACTTCATATTCTACTTTCAAATACGCTAGGAACAACAACTAAGGCTGTACTCTGAGAATGAAGTGCTCTAATGGGTTGAAACAATACTAAAAGGTCATTAAGATGAGCCTGATTATTCAAAAGCTTGTTTATAATGAGAAGGATTTAAATTCAATTCTGGATTTAGCAGGAAGCCAATATAGGATAAGTATGCTGTCTCTTTCTAGTCCCTAATAAGTATCTTCTCTCTTGCAAGAGAGGCAGGGAGCTTATATTCAAACCACAGTGTATACAAACCAGCCATAATCATATAAGGAACTCCAGCAGCATTACAGCTATGTAGGTCTGATAACAGATTTATGAATGTTATCAGCAATATTTGTTACCATAACAACAACTAACTTCTACTAAATTTTATATCGTTTTCAACCAATATTGCTTGCAAGAAATAATACCTAACAAATATCCTGGTTCATCAGAGACACCATCTTTCACATAGTTTAGAAATACAATGTTGTTGTCTACACAAATTTATAACATTGATTGATTAGGTGTTATTGTAATGATAAACAAATTGTTGTTACATTTAATGAGAAGTACTCATGACTTCAAATAGCAGATGGTATTTTTCAGTGAAGGTAGCTACTGAAACCTGGTACCTTTAACATGTATCGCATGTGACATCGCCTACTATATTGTTTATTTAGGTTATAACAAACAGACCTGCTATAAATGACTTTTATCACTAAATAAAGGGATTGTGGCTTCAAAGAAATTGTGGTTTCATTTCCTTTTTCCTATAGCGCTCTAGTACTAATTTCTAACAAGAATTTGGTTAGAAAGACTTTGATAACATCAAAGTGTCTCAGTTTCTTGTTATATACAAGCACAAGTTATATACTGTAACTCGTAATCTTTTAAAAATTTTGAATTTGGTCAAGACCTCTCAGATATCATATAGAAGGATAGATACCAAAATTGTCCAAACACTTGCAAAATTGGCACAAAATAGTATGCATCCCAACTAGTAGGATACTCTTCACTGGGTATGGTGATTGAATTATCCTTTCAGCTAGTTTTGACAAATGTGGCTAATCATTCACTCCAAGCTCTGATATTCTTAATTTTCTATATATGTCATCAATCAAAGTCTCTCCTTTCTCACAAATCAGTCATAGCTCTACCATACTAGAGCTTTAACAGTGTTGGTCAGTACAGCCACTTCATACTTGTTACTACAGTGTTGCTAAAAATTTTATTACTAACCGATAACCATTGGGTTTTACAAACAGCTCTCTGTTTTTAATATCAGCGAGTGTGGTGAAATTATTTATTTATTATTTATTTATTTAGTTTTGGGGTATCATATTTCTTTGTTTTTTTTGTGCTCCTGACAGTGCTTTGTAATGGGAAAATGTGACATCATACTGCAATGGAATTCAACTTTTGAATGAAGGAAATTTTCATTGGTAGTAAAATTGTGCCGTACACGTACTGGTTTGCCTTTAACTTTAGAAAATGATAATGATGAAGTAGAGCTAAAGTATCAGGTATAAAGTGGGGGATGATATAGAGGGAATGAAAGAAGATAAAATGCAGTAATATGGCATATGATATAAGCATTCTGCAACTAAGGCATCCCATTATAAGACCAAATGTTAAACCGCTTTTAAAACCAATAACATAAACAGTTATAAATCTAACAAATTACAGATAACTACTAGTAGTTCTTGGCTCCGGTACACAGTCTTTTACTGCAATGGTTAAAACTGGTCTATGCACATGCCTTCAGGGAAGACATATTGAGTGTCCGTGTGGGTACCAATAAACCAGTTTGTTGTTGTCAGAATTATGCATGAATTTAATGATTTTGTGTATTGTACAGTGAACACTCCCTTCACTTTCACTTTTGAAAAAAAGTCACAATGTGTCCTGTATTGTCAAGATGTTTTTTCACTTACCAAATTCATATGAAACTCGATGGAGAAGTGGAACGCTGACAAAGGAAGAAACTGTTACATTTTGGTTTGACTTACTTTAAAATTGTGGGATAAAGCTTTAGTCTTGTCGGAGGAGTGCCTTCTCTGAGTTTGAAAGTTTGCATATTTGTTGTTCCAGTTTAACTGCCTAAAAATAAACAGGAAATGTATCTTGCTGAATTTCTGTTTGCTAATGATTCATGATCACTGCTTTGACTTAGAACTTGAAATCCTGTAAATGGGGTCTAGTTTTTCTTTCTTTAATCCATGTTTTGTTCTGGTGTAGTTGGATTCATCTCCAGCACCATCAGTAAACTGTTATTTTGTAAAGAAGTACCATTTTAAATGATTACTTCATCTGTATTGTTTTCCACAGGTCATCTTCAGGAAAGGTGAGCCCAGAGAGCATTCGTTCAAAGGCATCTCCATCAGAATCATCTGAAGATAGTCATGACCAGCGTGGAAAAAAACCACCCCCAAGTCCAGGGAAGAAGGAGGAATTATCTCTATACAAAAAGACCAAAAGAGCAATAACAAGCAAGAAATACAGCATCCCCAAGCATGAAGCTGAAGCAACAATACCCATTGAACTCATCAGTCGAGGCCCAGATGGACGTTTTGTTATAGATCCTACAGACAGAGAAATGTCTGTCAAACCCCGGCGAATTGAGGGCTTCCCGTTTGTGGAAGAATCAGACCTATATCCTGAATTCCGACAGTCAGATGAAGAGAATGATGACGCTAGGGCTCTTCCACCAGTTATGCCCCCCTTGCGGCCTCACCAGATCTCTCCTATCTCCAGTCAGGAATCCTACCTGCAACCTCCAGCCTACAGCTCTCATTTCCACAGGCCCTTCGAAGGTATGACCATCATGGAGAGCAGTCGGCTCCAGGCCACTGGGCAGATCCGAGGCTCTCTCCACCACAGGGCTTTTTATGGCTATCTAGGTCCTCCTGGAGATCATGATCCTCCACCTCCTTTTTACATGCCAGATACCAGCCCACTTAGCTCTGTCATGTCCTCCCCTCCATACCTTGCTGAGGGTCCTTTTGGCCACGCTATGATTCCTGAAGAAATGGGAGAAAGTGATTTTCCGCAATATGCTGTCTCTGGTTTTCCACTTCCACTGACCCTCACCTCTTCCATTCGTTCTCCAGAGATTTGGCAGGGATTGGATTTTACCTTTGCAAGTTTGGAGGGACCCCAGTTCATTTTTCCACCACATCAACCTTTGCATCTCCGCCACGATTCTCCCTATCCCCCTCCACCTCATGTTCTTCCCCTTAGTGCTATCCAGCCCTCCTCTCTTCCAATGCCCACTTATCCAGCTGTCCTGCCACTGGAGGCCCCAAAGAGCCACTCAAGCAAGTCTCCCAGCAGGGCCAGGCCTCATGGCTCCCCAGCCAAGCATTTAGCTATGCAAGAGGCACATTTAGGGCAGCTAAGACACACAAGCCATGGAATGGGTGTGCCGGTTTTGCCTTACACCGATCCAATGGCCCATATTGTTCCTAGCACATTCAGTAGCTTGGACACACGATGGTTTGAAACCACTCCTCATTTCAGTCCCAGACATGCTCGTAGGATGGATTCTGGCATGCATCAGGTGGTTCTTCAGCCCTCTCGCCTCTCACCCCTCACCCAAAGCCCCCTTAGCTCTCATGAGGGCTCCCCAGAGATAGTAGTTCGTCCCAGGCCACGTCCCGGCATTGTCCAACCTACTATACCTTCAGAGATGTCTGAGATTACCCTCCTCCCTCCTTCCACAGCCAGCTTCTCAAGAAGATCTTCTCCCTCCTCCTCACCTGCTCAAGCCCACGGTAGCAGGAGAGCAAGTCCCAGCTACCATTCCCACATGGCCTTTGCCACCTCTGCAACCAGCTACCCAGCTTCCCAGTCTCCATCACCCCCCATGGAAAGCAGCAACATATTTGGGCAGATGCCATCTCAAAGGAGGACTGAGGAGGAGATCCTTCCATCGGAGCCTTCTCCACCCCAGTTGTCAGCTTCAGGGTAGGTCCATAAGGATTACAGAGCGGGATACCATTTGAGTCATCTGCCCCAACCCATAATGCTTTGGTTTGTGAAGTTGCTCTGATATTTTTGTTACTGAAGTGCTATGTACTAATCATTATTTCCTAAAGTCATCTCTGTGGCAAATTAATTTTATAGTTTAGCTTATGCTTTTTTCATTTGACTTAATGAAAATGAAAGTTGTATGGTGGAAGGAAACCATTTTGCTCGGATTCATTTGATGAACTCTAGATTTTTGTTTTTGAGTTCCTTTTTTTTAAGTTTAGCTTCAATTTGGTCAGTGCTGCTTTTCATGTCAGACATAAACTTACTCACCCACTGAATCTCTGAAGCACTGTTTCAAAATATTCACCTGGAAATGTACATCGTAAATTTTCATGTGAAAATGCTAAAAGTAAGTAAGTAAATTAAATGGTGAATTGACAAGAAAATGCATTTGCTTCACAGATTGCATTTCAGACCTTTAAGGGCTACAATCCATCTGGTTAAAAAAAATTAAAAACCATGGCCAGTCAAATGCTTTTTTGGGGGGGGGGGGGGCAGGCCCCTGAAAGCCTGGTAATATGCAGACATCACCACGGGATCCCTGTTTTTCCATCTGTATTATGTTACCCTGCTTTCACCTAACAGGAGGACTCTCATAATATCCACCAAGTCAGTTCCCCAGAGAAAACACCCATTGTTATGTCCAGCTCCAAGCCTTTGAAGATGCCTTTATCATGCAGAGGGATGAGTTCATCGTGGCAGGCCCTGCGGCCCATCCTCAGCCTTTGTAACTTGATTGCATGACCAATTCTCCCTTACTGTCCAATCTTTCAGATTTTTTTTCCTACTCTACTTTTCTCCCCCATTCTATAACCAACGTCTCCCCAACTCCCTTAAACGCCTTCAGGTCATCCAGGTCTGACTACCAAGGGAAGGTTGTTGGGCAAAGTGTGTCACAGGGCCTGTCCGCTTCTCATGTACTGCAATGTCTCCATCATTATCAAGTAGGGGCAGTGTGGTGGTTCTTGATGGCTCCTCGAGTCTTACCTGCTTTGTTTTTGATTGATCTCAGCTATCTGGGCAGCGTTGTTGTGACCAGGTCCTCTACACCGCAATAGGTAAGGGTTGGATCCATGTCTGAAAGGGGGGGGTTAGCAGGTGGGACTTTTTTGATCACCTCGTCCTTTAAAGGGGAATACAAGCCTTTGAGTCTTTGAGTTGTTCCTTACTTCAGTCAACACATGTAGCTGATTTCAGTTCTTTCTTTTTTTCCCTTTATGTCAAAGTGGCTATGCATTTTAAGTTCTGCAGTCTTAAGTACATTATGCATTCTGACTGATATGCATATGCCGTCTGTAAGATAATAGATCAGGTCAGAAATGTCTCACCAACATGTTTTCATGCTTGAGTTGTTTGCTAACTGACCACAATCACAAAAACTTTAACCCTGTTAATCTGTTAAGGATACCAAATCACAGATGGATATATCCTTAGTGTATATATCTCATGAAAACATTTAAAAGTTTTTATTTACGTCACTACATATAACCTTAACCAAATTACTTCAGCAAAGATCAGCTGGCACTTATACAATGCTTGATGGTCCAAGTACATTTCACTTATCCTTTCTGTTTCTTTGACACACACACCTACACCCACACACACACATACTTTTGAAAAGCACACTCCAGCAGTAGTAATAGTTAATGTTTTTAGGCCTTTTGTACATGAGTTGAGACAGGTCTTGCAGCCCGGGACACAGTACCATGTCGTATGCTCGAGTCCAACTGAACTGCACGCAGCTCATGTTTTTCAGGCATGGTATGCAAAAGTCACATGAGTAAAATGCACTGAACTAAGTGCATTAAAGGGCTTAAGTGCGCTTGGCTAAGTAATGGGTCAGCATCTATGAGTATGCCTTTAACCCTCATTAATGGTCACCATATTGGTTGTTGTGTGCGCAACAACTCTGATGTTTTCATAGCCCTATAGCCATTTATTTTGACATGGTGCAGTCTTCCCCTGAACAATAGGTCAGCACCTCAAGAAACCCTCTTCACCAGTAGTAGTATAATACTAGAAAAAGTCAAGAATCAAGCAAAGCGAAAAGTTCTCAAGAACATCTGTTCCATCTATTGCAGCTTCTCCCTCTCTGTAATGTGGGAATCTTGTTCTACGGTATCACTGAAATATACCACTTAAGACTAAACCACTTGTCCACTTGTGTGGGGACTGCTCTTCCTCATGCCACTGAACTCTTATTCAAGATAATTTATCTGGATTTCAGAATCCTCCATACATGTCCCTTCCGGTTCTCTACAAGCTGTTTGTTCTCGTTTTTGCACCCCACCCTCACTCACTCCCTTTTACAATGACTTAACTACTCATTAGTACATCGGGATCTGCCTGGCCCGGGAGCTGCTGCCAGTTCTCTCTGAGGCCTTCCCCAAGCCGCAGCCTCAATTCATGATCACATCATCTGCCATTATCTACTAGAAATGCTGTCAAACTTATGAGGATGTGGTCCCAGCCAGTGAATCAAGCTTTGTTATTAGAAATACATTTATGGGTAGCTTTTGGTAAAGATTGAACTGGGCTACAGTGGTCCCTTATTTATCGTGGGAGTTACGTTCTAAAAATAACCTGCGATAGGTGAAATCCGTGAAGTAGCCAACTTTATCTTTTAAAGTTATTATAGATGTTTTAAGGCTGTAAAACCCCTCACTACACACTTTATACACTTTTCTCTCTTGTTTAAACACCCTCAAAGTTCAAACCTTCGTAGAAAAATAAGTCCAGTATTATAGAATGAAACCAAAGATCAAACCCTGTTTTCAGGTCCAGAACATGGGAATAGAGCAGCTGCCAGAGAATTCAACATGAATTCAATGAATCAATGGTACAGAAGTAGAGGAAGCAAGAAGAATGAGTTGAGTAAAGTTTGACTTATCTGACTGTTTTGTTTTGCTCACCTCAAAGGGGCGATCGAGGCTCAAGAGTTGGGAGTTTGCCTTGTAATCGGAAGGTTGCCGGTTCGAGCCCCGGCTTGGACAGTCTCGGTCGTTGTGTCCTTGGGCAAGACACTTCACCCGTTGCCTACTGGTGGTGGTCAGAGGGCCCGGTGGCGCCAGTGTCCGGCAGCCTCGCCTCTGTCAGTGCGCCCCAGGGTGGCTGTGGCTACAATGTAGCTTGCCATCACCAGTGTGTGAATGGGTGGATGACTTGTTGTGTAAAGCGCTTTGGGGTCCTTAGGGACTAGTAAAGCGCTACACAAATACAGGCCATTTACCATTTACCATAATTCGGTGTGCCTTATGGTCCAAAAAATACGGTAACTTCTACCTTCCTTTAGCATGTCCAGAAGTCCAACTTTTTGTGCGATGGTTAGCATCGTCCTCTGCCTTTTACGTGCTACTGCAGGTGCCTTTGACAGTGCAAAACGTTTCGTCGACATTGTTGTGTTTGTTGGGGAGAAAACGTACAAACATACAGTACAACACTTCAGAGTCACACTGCTAGCAATCGAAGATTTATGTAAATTTGACAAGTTGAACACATTACACAGGAGACAGGAGACACGGCACGGAGGAGATTAATTGACAATGGTCTACAGCCGATCAGGACATGGAACACAATGCGCTGTAAAAAAAAAAAAAAAAACATGCAAAATTGCACAAAAAAAATCCACGAAATAGCGAGGCCGCAAAAAACAAAAAGCGAGGGAACACTGTATTCTCAAACTGAACACTTAGAATGTTCAAAACACAGCATTTAGTTTATAATAAATCACAATGTCTGCACTACTGAAGAAGAAAAATATCCAAACATACAAAGATCAGTAACTTCCACACGTGTGTAGTTATTCAATGTCATGTGGTCATTCCAAGTGAACTTTTGTATTGGGATACCACACATTATTGTGTATGACAATGTAATCTCCTATCATATCACTTAGTGATTCCAACTAGTAGATATTCTTGTCAAAAGACTTGGTAAAAATTCAGTGATTGCTTTTGCTGAAACAAAACTAATTTTTCTGTACTGGTCTTTGTGGCAGATGAGTACAAACGTGTTACGAAACTGTTCAGTTGCATGTACAGCAAGTAGTTCAGAGGTTGGCCAGGATCCATGAATTATCCATAGCCATTCACCACAGCCACAGTCATTTGAATGACTGTTTTATTAGCTGGTAGAGGAACCCAAACAGTGTGTTGATTCAGTTTAGATTAAAATAGTATCAACAATGTAAAATTCCATTGGCACATAATATTGATGAATTCCCACAGCTAAGAATTCAATTTTCAGATCACAGAAACACCTCCCTCCTGCAACATGACAGGTGCAGGCCTAACTAATGCAGTCCCTCCACATTCCTTCTTACCACTCAGATAGATGTTGCTGTCCTGCCAACAGACCTGAAGGCAGGCAAGGGGATCTGGCAAGGTTTGACTAAACGTAACTTCATTAAGTGCTTCAGACTACTCTCACTGTGCTTCGTTTGAGTCTTAACCAGTTAACCAAGCTTGTTTATATTATTTTCCAAATACCTCACACTCCTGGTTATTTTCTGAATTGTTATAGTTTCCTTGCTATGTGAGCAAGAATAATACATTTATCAGCAAGTTTAAAACAAAACAAAGCAAGAGCTGCAGCAGCAGGAAGAAATCTGAATCCATACTGAATCCATGATCCAGTAGTTCATGTAGTTAGCACTCATCAGCAAATAATGGCAATATCAGATTTCATTTCAAGATGTCCAGAACAAGACCTGCTTATTTTGCTTTACTCACCTTACGGTGCCTGATCCAATTATTTTTGTGCATTTTGGTATGCCTACCAGCTACCGCCAGCTGGTGTTCGAAATTTTTCACTATGTCAAGACAAAGCAGAGCACACTGCTAACTGCATGGCTTTTGGGATTGGATGGATTAACCATAGTTTATGTTCAGCTGTCTCTTGTGAGCTGGTTGTTTTTGTCAAATTTCTTATGTATCAGTATTGCTTGGAGTGTAGCTCTACTCTGCCTTTTTGGCCAGTTCCCAAGTGAAGACTGAAAAAAAAAAAAAGAAATGTCAGGACCCAAAATGATCTTTTCTCAACTTCTAAGCTGAAGAAGGTTGCCTATTCAGCTGGAGTCCGGATTATCAACTAGCAACCACCTGTCACCTTCAAAGTGATGCCTGGAAAGCAAATCACTTCCTGTGTAGACTTAGTTGAAGATAATAACAGGAATAATTTAGTTACTTAAAGTATTCCCTGTGACAAGCAAATCTGAATACCAAGGCAGTAAGGTAATTCTACTTGATAAGATGCCTTAAAACAATCAGGCTACATTAAAGGTGAAATTAAGTCCAGTTTAAAGCAATCTAATTAACCCTCAAGTCACAAAGCTATTTTAGCATCTAAATATACAAAGTAAGGACATGACGCTGACATATTGGATACAGGACTTTTTAAAAAGTGATTTCCATTTATTATACGTATGCTCGTTTCTTTATCTTACTGTATATTTTTTATTGTTTCTTTGCAAAAGGAGTTAAAAACAAAAATTACACCTGCACAGTTTATTTAGCATCCTCCTCTGACACTTCCCTGCAAAACAAATTGTCTTTGCTTCAATAAAAATAGAAAATAATACATTTAACAGGTTATGTTTGATGGACTGATCTATACCTAGATGGTAGTATCATTTTAACACCAAAATGTTGAACTCAGTCTATAATGCTTTGATCAACAGCAATCTACAGTCCGTTAGAGCCACATTTGGGGCGTTCTTGCATATTTTATCAATTCCATTGACAGGTGCTTCATTAATTAAAAACAATCTTGTATGTAGATGTGTAATGTAGAAAATATTTTGTAAAGAAAGACTTAAAAATGTTTGGATTGCTGACATATCTGAAAGAAATTACTTATCTAATTATGGAAAGATAACAGATAATATAAAATAAAGTAATAGCAGTGAGGTTCTGTGCAAGGGGACACTGCTTTGTCTTTCAAACACAATTTGCAATACAACATGTGCTCTGGGCACACATTGCAGATGCATCGCAGAAATATCCTGATCACCTCCTTAAGGGCCCACCTCTATGGGAAGGACTCATGTACACAATAGTGTATTAAAATAGTCTGAAATTTGATAACCTTCATGTTCTGATGTTGACAATCGTTCATTTGAGCCAGTTTATCAATTTGGCATTAGCCAAATTATCTCCCTCAAAGCTTTTGCAACTGTTTTTGCAGAAAGTCTTGCTACTCCAAGTATGTCTATCATGGTTAAAAAAAGAACAACATCAGACTGGAGAGAAATGTAGTTAGATGGTAACACAGAGAGGGAAGAAAGTCAAAAAGTAAAACTGAGGGTAACGAACGACCAGAAGACGGCATTGCAGACATCAAGGATAGCTACAAGCACCTTGGATCCTGAATGGGAACCATGAAGAGGCCACTTGGAAAGCCCCAAATACCTTCAGAGAGTAAGGCAAGTCCTGAGCAGTCTGCTGAATGGGAAGAACAAGTCCTGGCAGTCAACACGTAAGCCTTGCCAGTTATCCTGCTGGGATAATAAGCCGGCAAAAGAGGAAGAGAGAACCCACTGACATCAAGACAAGAAAGTTCTTTACGATGCATAAAGGGTTTCACCCCAAGTCCAGCACCCTGAGACAGTATGCTAAGCAAAAGGAAGGAGCCTGAGGACTAGTGACTGTCCAAACCACTATCCAGGATGAAGCAACAAACATCGATAAGTACATCAGGAAGATAGCCACAGCCAGTCATTTGCTTAGTGAATATCTCAGGCAGCATAAACTGAAGAATTAAGAGGAGGAAGATGGGCACCATAATGGAAGGACAGACTCCTTATTTGGGATGTTCCACAGGCAGCTAGAAGACGTGACTGACATGAAGAAATCATACCAACGGCTAGACCAGTCACTCTCAAACTGTGTGCGTACCATTGCTGGTATGGGGGCTCCCTCTAGTGGTACGTGGAAGTCTCCAAAAACATTTTAAAGATTAAATAATGTACCATGTTCTGACTGAGGGATTTCTGAAAAATTAAAATGTACAGCTCTGCTATCACTTCCGACATAAATGAAGACAGAAAACTAAACAGCAGTGACGTTTGTAGGGTTACTGAAGTTGGACTAGCTGGTATATAATGATGTGCTATGTGATCGCTAGCGACACAGCTATGTTAGCATAACATTAGCACAGTGAAGCTGGAGACAACTAAGACGGACTATTTTGTTTAGCCATTTGTATTAAAATTTGATCTTCAGTTTAAATATATCTGTTATACTTGGTTGAATCATTCCATTTTTACAGGCTGGTCTTCTTCTGCCTAAAGTTGTGTATGAATTTAGAGGGTTAGCTTTTGTCCAGTGGCATGCAAAAATAATTGTTACTTTAAAAAAACCATACAGGTTGATTTTGGTGTTTTGTCTCTTTGGCACTGAGTGACTCGATAAAAACAGTGACTGCGTGGACCTTTTCTTTCCTCCGCATAGACACTCTCTGTTCTCGGATCACTTTGTAAACATGCTTTTAGCATTCTCCTCAAGCGTGACACATTCTGCCATTTCTAAATAACAGATGCTTATATTGTACGACCCCAATTGAAAATATTTTGAAGGCAATAAAATATTTTGTAAGATTGGCGTTGTGATGTCACCTGAAGCTGTGTGTCCACTGGGAGGAATAGTTGACAACTGTGTTTTCTTGTGGTTGTTTTGGTTTTTGCTTTAAAAATGAAGCAGACAGTGCTGTTGCATGTTCTTGGCAGTGATGAAATTGTTGCGCATTTAAACTTCGGAGCTCAAAGTAATTTAAAATGTATTTTAGCTTTTAATAAAATTGCACTAGATTCCTAGAAAGTTTTTAAGAGCTATAGCATAACGATAACCACGACCAGCACTTCCCACGAGCATTTCTATATAAATTAGGACAAAATCCTGGTGGACACATGGCCCTAATCCTCTACATAAAGCATCTGTAGAGAGCATGAATCAATTCATCTCCTGTAAGTATACAATTGCACTTGTAAGTGGACTGCAGAACAGTTCTCACTGCCATGTGACACAAGTGCCCTGCCAAAGCAGCTTCTGCACTTCTTTTTCTTCTAAAGAACCAATGTTTTATAAAAGCGGGGCAACCAGGGAGGGTTGAGGTTCCCCTTAATCTTTGAGTTACCTGCCCAATGAAGTGCTTTTGAATGTATTCCCCTTTAAAGTCGTGTTCCATGTGCAAACTGCCATGCATGCTATCGCTAAATATTGCTCTTCCGTTTCAAAAAAGAAACAATTATATGGATAAATTCTTGTTACATTTGTTGTCCTGGTGCTTCGCTTTTCTTTGGCTTATTTTTCATTATGTGACTGTTCCCAAGTAGTCATTTTCCCCTCCCGCCATCTCTCCCCCTGTCAGCATGGTGAAGCCCATTGTAGACAGTATCCATGTCTATGAACACATATTGATGATGCTTTGTTGCTCAGCTGTGATTCTTCCCCTCTACTAACAGCATTCGGTTTCTCTCTGCAGCCACGGTGGGAAGATGGCCTCTCTGTAAAGCATATTGTTTTCTGTGCCTTGAGAGAATCAAGCGCGTGCTTGTGGCAGAAATCTGGGGGCTGCCTTGTCACATGTGCCTCTGTGAATGGGAGGGAAGTGATGAACAGCTGCGAAAAATGTACTTCATGCCAAGGAAACATTTGTATCTGTTATTTTCAGAGAGAAATACTATACTAATTAGAGTAAACATTCAAATCTGCAGACTTATGAATTGGAAAGAGCATTTAGTAATCTTCATTTTGGAAACAGTTCCTCTGAAACCAACAGTGCAAGTGGAACTTTTCTCACTGACCTAATCTAGCCAATGGGATCAATAGATAGCTTCAGGAGTTGTGAAATACTCTGTTTTTCTTTGGATGAAAATTGTTTGGATCAATTTGAGCAAAATATCTTCAATGCCCCAGAAATTTCAAGGTGCATAATACTTAATGAGATCTGGATTTTATTTAGTGAAAAATTTTCATAGTAAATCCAGATGATGTATAAGGTTATAGTAGTCATAATCACATGTTTTTTTTATTGCAAAGCTTGGGTAAGCTTCAATAGGTGTCTCACATTGATCCTTTGGCAATGTGCTGTACCTCTTGCTTAGCACGAGCAGTGCTGTTCTGAGATTGTGTGGGTTATGTTGCGCTCCGTAGTGCAGAAATACAGTTCACTGACCACGTTTAGCCTGGAGTTACCCCTTTTTTCCTCTTTCTCTCTTCTTTATTCAGAAAACGTCGAGGTGCGCAGAGTGCCCTTTCAGGGTCTGAGAGGATCGATGCACTGAGATACCAACGTATTAAAAAGGCCAAGAAGATGACTATGAACAACAATAACTCCAAGACCAGAAAGAAAGCAGGTGTGAACCACCATTCAATATTTGTTCTCATTTTCTCCACTGTTGAGGTCTCTATAGTGGAACAAGGTTCCGTTTCATCTTGAAAATGTCTTTGAAATGACCTGCTGCCATTTTCAGAAGATTGTCAAGCATGGCATTTTGAAGCTCGTCACCAGCTGGCATTTGGTCAGAAGCCTTTCCTGTCACATTACAGCATCATTTTAATGTGCAGGGCAGTGCGTTAGAATACCACCTTAAAGGAGAAAGTGTAACACCCCCCCTCCAAAAATCATGAAACAATACCCCAGACAACACGAGGTCCTTAAAAAAAAATTTTCTTCTTAAACTAAACTTCTAGACTTTTGACAAATGGAGGTGTTGGGAGTGTTTCCGAGTCCAAACACTCCCAAAAGCAAACAGTGAGGCATCACTGAAAACAAATTACATCCTGTTCCGTCAGATGTTGCAATCAAGATCTGCTTTTTATGAAAAGTGGGACTCAAGTGGTTGAGAAGTATGCTAGCTTATTGCTTGACCACTCGAGTTCTCTAAAAATCCAGATATTTTAACAAAAACAGAGTACAGCACAGTAATAGAGTTGAATGTTGAAGATGAAAATATATGCACCAAAAAGCCAACTGACATATCATAATTTACATTATATGGAAAAGAGTACCGGGACACCCACACATTAAACATGAGAGCTCTTTGCTTCTAGAAACTGCTGCAGTTTTTGTGCTGATGTTAATGCCAGAGGTTTGGAGTTACTGCACAGCAGAGAGTTGGTGACGTTTATGCAACAAGCTCAAAGTGTCATCTTAGGGAGCATTGTCATTGCTAGAGCCAGCTTAGCTTAGCATAGTGTAAGTCCAAACAGCATAGCATAAAATGCCTACACTGTAATAAAAAAAAAGGCAGGCTTTTGACCGTGTTATATGACCTGACTTAGCAGAACTTATGGCCTGGCATACGTTGTGCATGAACTTACAGGTTGTTTATGGAGATATATTTTAGGTAGGTATAACAGATGCAGGTGTAGTGGATTTTGTCATCAATGTAAAAGTAAAAATCACTGTTTCCAGTTAATAAAATAAGCTGACTGCCTGCTGGATCAAGATTCATACTGTATTACAAATAAACTGGACTTGTGGGTACTTCATGGAGTTGATCTACTCCTGCCCAGAAGCAAAGCATCATTTCAGGGAAAGTGTCGGAACAGCATTTTCACCTTGAGTTCTGGTGGCTATGACCTGCCTGTTCGTCTCTTTGCCTCCAGGTGTCTCCACCTCTCAGACCCAGCAGGCCTACACCTCTCAGGTACTCCAGCCCGAAGAAGCTCTCTACCTCCGCAAAAAGAAGAAACGGCCCATTCTCCATGACCCATATATTCGCTTTTCTGCTCTGCTTTACCGTCGTCCAATTCGGGAGGACCAGAAAGCTATTTTGGCTAGCATGGACAACACAGACCTAGACCATGCCACCCTCCTCTGAAAGTCACAGCTGTGCAATACAGCTCCCCTTTCCAAAATGACACTGCACTAGCTACGTCTCAGCTGAAAGAAAAAAGAATACTGTCACTAGAATTGTCGCAGTTTATTACCTACAAAGGGGAGTGGCACAAAATTTCAGCATTCAGATTTGGTTTATACTACAGCTGCACCCCTCGGTCAGTTTAGTTTGCATTAGTAAGCATTCTGCTGTGTTCATGAATTAACCTTGACAAGTCTCAATTTCTTCAAAAAAAAGCAGATTAAGAGAATTATTATCAGAAGCCACACATATGTTTTTGTTTAAAAAAAATCAGATTAATGCCATCTTTGATTGGAATTGTGATTTTGAGGCATTTCCTCCGCCAAATTTTGGATTATTTGACTTCCTGCTTTGGAGACCCAAAGGCACAGCAATCTTCTGTTCTTACATCAAGTAGTATTCCATTTAAAAAAATGTTTAGACCTCTAAAGATTTAAGTGATAACTGACACATTTGTCCAAAATTTTACTCCAGTGCAAAATCATTAACTAGAATAAATACAGCCAACCATTTTGCTGATTTTCGTAACGACTATTTTCCTACTCCCCCTTCATATTCTTAATTTTAACATTCCCTCCAGCCTCGGGTCCTGTTTCTTGTGCTGAGCCAATCCTCTCTCCCCATCCTGCGGGTCTCCGTTTACAGCACCTTCTATAAGAACCTCTCGCCGCCAGCAGCATCTCTTATCTGCCGAGAAACTCGCCTCACAAATATGGGTGTTCTCACTTCCTACCAAGTATACCTCAGAGCACAGGACACGAGACCACACAACCACCTGGATCAGCCAGGAGAACAAACTAGCCTTTTTACTCATCTTTTCATTATTGTTGCTTTTTTATGTACCTGTTTTTATATTTGTTTCCAAATGTGCAAACACTGAACACATAGTTTATCTGTTCAAGAAAGATTCACATCTTTACTCATCAGCTTTTTTCTGCTCTGTGCTGAATGAGCAGGAAAAGGGCTCGTGGTGAAAGGAAACAGAAACATTACCTTTAGCTTTGCTGTACTCGGCCTAATCTTCACTCTGTGTAGTTTTTCACTGACAGATGGGAACCAAACAGGTCTTGTCTTCATTCTACATAATATTACAAAAAATCTGGCACCCTCAAATTTGGCTTTTTAATAACAAAAAATATTGTGATTTCTATTTAGTTTCTTATGAAGTTATACAGTTGCTCCAATTATTTTGAATTTTAATTTTAATTCCAGCTTTTTACATCTCAGAACAGTTTGCACTGGAGCAAAATCTTGTCCACGTCCTGTCTCTTCCTTTACATTTCACTTCTTCTACTCTAGTTAGCTTAGAGGGCTGCAAATCCACTTCTGAAATTTATGCCAAAAACAATTCAGTGAACAGAAATAAACAATTTTAGGGATTTTGTGCCATTTCAGATACATATATATAAATATATATATACATACACATGTGTGTGTGTGTGTGTATACTTACAATTTTGCTTCATATTTATTTAGGAGGGCATAAAACACTGGCTTTATTTGGCCTTAATCTTTGCCTGTTTCATTTGTGTCAAACTTTATTTAATGTTTGTTTTTTATTTGTGTGTTTTTATATCTGCTTCTTTTGGCCAGTTTCTATTTATGTGCTTGTCATTTGTTGAGACTCCATCTATGTTCCAAGAAAACGCTGTGTGGCACTGAAGGTCACACACAGTGAGCCGAATGTTTTTGCTGTATTTTCACAGATTGGTTCAAATATTGATTCCACAGATTGAGAAGTGTGTTTGACATGTGATGGATGTGCTGGATGCTACGCAGCTACACGGTTCATTTTTTTAATGATTGGATGAGTAACAAAAGTGCCATAACATCAGAAACTCAGCTATATTACACAGTACACATGCTGCTTCTTGTTACATTATGGAATCCGCAGATGAGGGGTGTGTACGTTAAAACAACAACAAAAAAAACCCAATCAAGCTTTTGTCGTGTGTGGATTTTTATCAATAGAAGGTGTATTCACTTGTAGGTGTCATGGTGACATGTTGCAATATGAGAACAATGGAGGTTGATTAATAAGACAGCAGTGATGTGCATCTTAATCTTATTTATGTCTTTATGTCTTGTGATTTTGAGCTGCTAATCCCAGCAGTCTTCTAAAATCAGACATTTTTTCAGTGACTACATTTACTTGCTTGTATAAGATATTTCCACAATAAATGCTTTCATAAAGAGCAATTTTAGATGGGCCTTCTGTAATGCAGGAGCAATTCTGGAATAGATGTGATTCTTTTTTTCATTTATATCTATCTAATAAAACGGCTGCTGTAACAAAATCTTCTGAGTGCATTTGTAATACATGAATAAACAAGCTAAAATAAAAGAAAACATATAACAGAAGAGTCCTGACTTGACAGACGTTATACAAAAAAGAAAAAAGTAGAGAAGCTCCAGATAATGCACTTATTGTGGAAATAACTATGTTAATTCATACAACTTTAACCACATTTTCCACTTCCAAAACCCAATAATAAGAGTTTTAGTCAGAATAACTTGGCTTCACACCTCCTATCTGGTTGTTAAGTCTGACGTCACTAGCC